CTCTCCTTGATGGTATATCTGGCTGGCATGGTTTTTTGTTTGTTTGGGCTTGCTTGTTTCAATTTTCAAGTGTGAATGCCTTTAAGCAGGTCATGATACTCCAGTTCACAGCAGGTCCTATGGCTTGCTTATTCATTGATTCCTCAATTGTTTATTTTTTTTTTTTTGAGGCGGAGTCTCACTCTGTCGCCTAGGCTGGAGTGCAGTGGCGCGATCTCAGCTCACTGCAAGCTCCGCCTCCGGGGTTCACGCCATTCTCCTGCCTCAGTCTCCTGAGTAGCTGGGACTACAGGCGCCCGCCACCACGCCCGGCTGATTTTTTGTAATTTTAGTAGAGACGGGGTTTCACTGTGTTAGCCAGGATGGCCTCGATCTGCTGACCTCGTGATCAGCCTGTCTTGGCCTCCCAAAGTGCTGGGATTACAGGCGTGAGCCACCGCGCCCGGCCTGATTCCTCAATTGTTTATTAAGCACATACTATGTGCCAGAAAATGTTTGAGGGGCAGAGGATTCCCAGTGAGCAAATCAGACAAAACCCCAAAAAATCCCTGTGCTCAAGGTACGCACACTCTAGGGCATCTTCCAGCTTTGTCCCTGTCCAGTTTCTCCCACTTTCCTCCCTTGCCTGCCAATAAACATCTGAGGCTGGGCCTTGTTCTGAGGAAGGAATGTATGGATCGAGGATCTCTTAGAGTAATTTTTACCAGTCTTTTTACTTTGCTGTTTTTATTTCATCACTGCTGAAAGTAATGTGCCATATAAAAAGACAGTATAAAGGATTCGCCAATATATTGATTTAGTAGAAACACTTTATTAAGAAAAATGGGCAGTGTTGACTTTAAAACATTCCTGAAAAATGCTTTTGGAGGTGATGTGTTCTCTGATGTTGGAATGACAGTTTTGAAGGCTGGAAACCATTTACTGAGGGAGAGTGGTGTGTAAAACACCAAGTAGCATCTTTGGGCCAATGTAGACCAAAAAGATCACATCCTAAGACGATTAGAAATCTTCCATGCAGAATGTTGGGACATGGAAAATGTCTCAGCTTCCATTGCACAGAACCCCGGAATCAGAAAAACCTTTAGAAGTTCGTTTTAGGAAGAACTATTTCTCATTGTGGATATCAGACATTATGTCAAGCAGTTACACTGGCTAAAAACATACACCATACAATGAAGGTGCTCAGTAGGGCTAATGGATGAAATTCCCTGAACTGTTCATTACAGAGGCGTGACGGAGGTGCCTTTCCAGGTCTGCATCACGGAGGACGAGTGTTTCCCATCGAATGCCTTGACACGTCTGCTCACAGGTCTTAACCCAGGTTGGGGGATGGTGCCCATGGCCAGGTTCGAGAGCAGATAGAAGATGGGTTCTCCTTCCGTAAAATCTCCCTGAATCTTCTTTCCTTAAATACTCCAGAAGTATTTACTGATGGAGGTAAGATTTAGATGATACTAACCTGAACCAGATTTTTTTTTTCTTTTTTAAAGCAGCCTAGGGCTGAAATAGGCTCAAAATCTGCCACTTCCTAGCTGGGAGGAGCAGGTATGTCACAGCCCACTCAGATTCAGCCTCCTCCCTCGGCAATCGGGGGCCACAGCAGCTGCCCTCTTGCTTACGGAGGACAGAGCGGGGCAGGGTGTGCCAAGGTGCCTTGCACAACCTTACCCTCTTATTTTGGAGGATGAACACTGGTTCCTGGTGGGGGATGGTG